AGGTTCTTGTTCCTTGATGATCCTAAGAAGATTGGAGCGACCTTGCGGTTGCTCAAGATCTAGACCGCTACGCAAATCGACTGGCTGACCTACTCGAAGACCTGACAGGGCAGCTTTGTGACTCATGCGGGGAGATCCGCCGTAGAGTTCTAGGAAGTCAATCTTCCCAGTGCTGGTGACCTGCCAGTGACACTCTTGATGTGGAATCGTTAGGTCTGTCGACTGCAGGGAAGCATCGAAGGTGACCATGCAACTTGCGTGGTCAGAACCTTCTGACGTCAGAGTTTCCTCATCAGGCGCGAGAGGAATCTCCACATCAGATGTTATGTCATAATTTTTCCTCAGTTTTGAGATATTAACGCGGACGATGCGTGTTCCAAGATCCACACCTACCATGGATCCTCCGAGTTCGGAGATCACCTTTCCTTTTAGCCAAGATCCATGTTTGGACCCAGTGGATCCAATCTTAGACTTATCTTCTGACCAGTAGAAAACCTTATCTCCCAAAGAGAAAGGTCCTTGGGTCATTGACAGTCTGGCTGCAAGATCTCTACGCAGATCATCAGATTGGCGTGCCTCTTGGTAAGCCCTGTTGGCAAGCTCCTTAATGGCTCTCGCAGTGACTTCCGTATCAGTTGGATTACCTGTCAACTGATTGGGATCGGCGTTCTCTGGTGTTATAACATCTCGAGGACGCCTTCCAAAGGCCATTTCTAAAGGAGTAACTCCTCCGTAGGTAATCGAAGAGTTTCTTGCCAAACATGCTTGGCGAACGAGGTTGCCATACTTCATGGTGATTCCGTTATACTGCGGGTCACCATCCTTCAGGATCTGAAGTATGAGCTTAATCTGATGCTTCAGCAATCTTACAGCAGCTTCGGCCCTGTTGGGCCATGGTGTTCCAGGTCCTGTTGCCACAGGCTTGATATTCTGCCGATTGTAATAAGCCTCCATTTTTGGAGTCATGAATGCTTGATCTCCAACTACAACCTTTGGGTTGATCTGAAATTTCTCAAAGTAGTCATTCATAATCGACATTGTAGTATGTTCTTCTTTATCCTGGACTACTTCGGCAGTCAACAAGTTTGTTGCTCCATCATAGAGAATAAGAAATACTAAGCGACTATCCTTGCCGGGAATTGGAAGCTCACCGTGATCTACGAAGGTGAGATCACCGAAAGTCTCTGATCTTAAACCAGAAATCTTCGCTCTCGAAGGAGCTCTCACATGTTCCTGGCAGGCTGAACACTTTTTGACCAGTTGGTCATATAGCTCGTAGATCTCCTTTGGGATCTGTAAGGCCTTTGTGCGTCGCTTGAACTGATCCGTACTCATATGACGGTGCTTGAGGTGAAGCTTATAGAGTTCTACAGGGTCCTTAAGCTTCTCATGAATCCTGCGAAGAGCAATGGGAAGAGATGGCGATGGTTCTGCGACAATCTCTTCACCTGTAGGTGAGTCTGTACCAGGAGCCGGGTATTCTCTTGACTCAAGTGGTCTTACCTCCGTCCCGTCATCAGCTCCTGGGACCTTAGACTTCTCTTCAACAGGAGATTTAACCGCATATTTGCGGGATTTCTTCAGAAGGTTTTTGAGACCCTTTGGAGTCTTTATCTTTGCAGGTGGGACCTCAAGTCTTTCTTCTTCTGGAGGTTCATGTGGTGCAGAGGATTCTGCAGGTTTGTCCCTAGAACCTGATGATGGTTCCGATGGTCCGGAAGGCTCAGGAACATCACCAGATGGTTCTGGTGGATCAAGTTTCTTGGCAGATGATTCTGCCGGATCAGATGGAAGAGGCTTCTTTTTACCTGAAATCCTCTTCGGTGGTGGATCAGCTGCTCCCTCAGGTGCTTTGTCGCAACCCTTGAGGTACGTGTGAGCCCTTTTCTGTCCGGCACAGGCTGGACAGCGACCTTCCGGTATCCTAGTATAAGGCTTATTGGCTCCTAGAGCAGTCTCCGTCGCACTGAACGACGTACCTGACTTAGGGAGGTACTTCCTGGTGGAAGTAAAGCCTAGAAGGTCCAATACCAAATGGTTATTGGTACTAATCGGAAGAGGGGTTTTATACAAACCGAAAGCTTCACACGTTGCTAGGTCAGCTGTTGGACTACACTCGAGGGTCATTCTTAAATTCCTCATCTGTTCGATGGAAAACAAAATGGGGACTCTTCCCTGATCCAAAACTTCTATGGTTGTATCTCTTCTTGGAGTTGTGTTAAACCATAGAGTTACACGCTCCTTGATAAGAGCTGTTTCACTATCTGCGAAAGAGAACTTCGTGTTCGAAGGTGAAAAAGTGAAATCAATCATGCCTGGGGCATGTTGCTTCACGGCCTTGATAAGCCTGTTCACCGCATAGCGGGAACCCATAGCCCTAGTACAACCTGAGTCAAGTATGACAAAGGTAGGGCTCTTATCAAGATTGATCCGCTCTGTGAGAGCAGATAGGACGGTGTGCTGCAACGGAAACACTGCTGTTGCAGTCTCCACACCTTGCCCCTCGGATGGTTCAGAGACCTGGGGCACGTAACTCACTGATGAGTTGTACACGGGTTCTTGGTGCGCGCTCGGATCTGTGCCTCTACCTGATGATCCTGCTTGATTTCTTCTCTTCTTTCTCCGTGTCTTTCTTCGTGAGGCTTGTGATGCATAGTATGTATAAGACGTTTGATCGTCATAAGCGGCATAATTCCAACTGGAGTCAGTATAATAACTGTCCTCATACCATGAATCCCAGCTCGGTGCGGTGGAACTTTCATAGGCCTGTGGAGATCCAGTTTGGTCTCCTTGTAAGGAGGCAGACTTAGCTGTATCCTTACCTTTGCCTTTTGCCTTTGTACCCTTGAAGGAGCTTCCTTTATCTCCTTTGTCCTTTCCTTTTCCTTTGCCTTTTCCACCTTTTCCTTTTTCCTTTCCTTTACCTTTACCGAAATAGCTGGAATCAGTTGGATCATGTTCTGCCTGGTTGGCTCTCCCTTTTCCGCGGTATGACCTAAAACGGCCACGTCCTTTTCGCTTGCCACCCTTTGCTCTTCCCGGTGATCCGGGACGCATTCTTGGTCTTCTTCCCTTTTTGAATCTCCTTGCAACGAAGGCTTCATGGTCGTCAACTGTCCAGAAGACAGCTTCTTCATCCTCGGCGGCAAGAAAGCCTTCCTCAAGGGTGTCTTCGTCTTGGAGCCAGAATCCATCGACTCCGTCGTATTCACCCTGATCGAGGATGAGGAAGTTTCGACCTCCGCGTTTGCGGCGTTGGTCTCTCCTTCCATGGCGGTCCTTCTTGTGAGAAGAGTGCCGAATGTTGGGATCCTGCAGACCAGTTCTGGTCGTTGAGAACTGATCGAACATGGTCTGCCGTACCACAGGGTACGTATAGGTCTCAATTCGGTGACCTTGGTTGGTCAATGCTGTTACCAACCTCTCACGTTGCATCTCATTTAGGTCGGACTGCACTAGGAAGAGAAGAGCTAGGAGATTATCATTTAGAGGAAACGCTCTTCGATGATTATCAAGGCGTTCCTTGTTCCATGTTTCGAAGAAACGTGCGGCGTATGTGTCTCTCTCGGTTGCATCCTGTAGGCGCAAGAAGGTTTGATCTGCCTGCACAGCCTGCATGAAATCTGGATGGGCATCTTCCAGAGCTATCTCTGGTAAGAGATCCATCCATGAGTTTTTCACGCGCTGTAGCACGATCTCAAACTTAGCAATCCAAGTCACAAAGTCTTGGTTGCCCTTCCATGCCTTGAATAGGCCGAGGAAACGCCACAGGAAAACGTACTGTTCTCCTTTCACGAAAAATGGACGCATCTTCTTCTTGAAGTAATCTACTCCATCTGGGGCTGCAAGCCTTTCTCGGTTCAGTGATTCTTTTTGTACTGCGGCCAATCCGGAGAGCCTCGTCTTGAGAGACGGACCTCTTTTGGTGTCATCCAGCGTTGTTATGTCGCACCAGTCGTCAATCAACTGTTCATACTCAAACCACGAGGTGGTGCCATCATAGGCAGGCGCGATCTTGGGCGTTATGCCTAATGATGCAAGCATGCGGTCAGATGTTGCATATGACTGTGCGACATAAGTAGCTGGACCTTGGGAGGTCTCTTCGTTCTCATATCCCCCGGAGGATTGGGAACTGCCGTCGGCTTCGCTATGCGAGCTCGACATTGTGCTGCCTCTTATCCGCTTGGTTAAGCGTTCGGCGAGGCCGACCGCTGTAGCGGACTTTGTGAGGCGGGCGGCCCTTTCCGGGCTCCGCTACCAGAAAACTGTGCCGATACACCCCCAAGGGATACTCCTTGTTAGGAGGTGTATGACCAGTTATTCCCTAAGGATCAAAGGGCAGCGCCCTGCACACGGACAGTAGTTGTTTTGTCTTGCTACGCAAGGAGAGCTTGTCTTGTCTCAATATGGTAAAACCACTGTGAGCCAATGGGCAGCGGAATGTATATGTATGAGCATGCAGCCATTGCTGTAGGTACCTGTTAGAGCTACCCCTTTAGAGGTTTATGGTTTCACCCCCCCCCCCCCCCTCATATTCTTTCCCCCCCCCTCCCCGCCTCTGGGGGGGGGGGGGTCAATACTCCGGAAGAACTAACCCCCCCTACCCCGCGAATTCAGACTTCTCAGCCCTGCCGAAGGCTATGTACCAGCCGATGGTTCCTCAAACCCCGAAGGGTTTTGGGTGTGGGGTAACTGATAAACCCTACCCGAAGCCCTGTACGATAGCTCCCCTGAATCCTAAACCCTAAACCGAGCGCCGAAACCCTGAGGGTCAACAAGTGCTTCTATACAGTAGCTCCCTAAATTCTACAACGCTAAGCCTCAAGTTGAACAAGTGTGACAACTAGAAACCTAATCCTAAACCAGCTATAAACCTTACCTAAACCGTTACTGAGGGAACCGTAGGTTCAGGCAGTTGCCTTCCACAACAGGGATTCTGCTAACCTTAACTGTAAGGCGGAAAAAGGCGCCGAAAAAAATCACGTTACTGTAAACCCCAGGTTCAACAAGTGTGACAACGGGATCATCGTGAGACGGCCCTTTGCGAAGAGTTGGGCGCAGCAGCAGCAGGAGAAGACTGGCAGCTCCTTCCAGGACGGGTTGCTAATTACAATGCTACAATGTTCAGGGGTGTGTTACTTCATGCTTCTAAGTTCTTTCTATCACATATATGTATACTAATATATATATATATATATATATACACGTATATATATATATATATATATATATATATATATATTGTAACAGAATATGCTGTATTTATGCTGTGTATGTTCTGCAAAATATAGTATGTAATATTTTACTACTGCTTGTGTACCATGCTTTTGTGCAGCAAGGTTATGGTTTCGGGATGCCTCCGAGATTTGTTCATTCGGTTCTAGGGTTTAGGGTTTGAGCAAAGGCCTAACTGGCGGAAGAGCGGCAAACTACCAGGTGTCCTTGCGTGCAAGCCTGCAGCAAACGGGGGGAAATCTTCGTGGTAGTGGCAATCGACACAGGTTTGCAACGACTTTCGGAGGCTTTAGAGCTCGAGGCTGTTTTGCATACACCCTATGGTTCCTTATTATAATTGTAGTATAATGGGCCCTAAAACACTATTATAATTATTAAGGCCCCTATATGAGACAGAATCAACGGTCAACCAAACTTCGGCAAACGTTCCACCTTTCACGCATTTGCTCGAAGCCGGAGCGGCCATTCTGCAGGCCTCATTGGGTTGAGCCTTGCAATCTGGCAAGAGCGAGAGGGGCATTATAGGGGCTTGAATAATAGTTACCAATATTATACCCTATGGTTCCTTATTATAGTTGTAGTATAATCGGCCCCAAAGCCCTATTCTAATTATTAAGGCCCCTATATGAGACAACTTGTAAAAGGTTGAATCTGTGCCGTCTGGGGTTCGCCAAACTGCGAGAATCACAAGTTTGCACATACAGCGTTGTCATTCCAGAAGTTGTGGCCAGGAAACATACGTGCCGTTCAACGTACAACGACGTTTGAGAAACATGCATCATTGAACCCTACTGTCCTTAAGCCCTAAAAAGCCGAATCAGATTTATTCAACTATACCGAATATCATGCAACGTCCAGGTCGACATCAAGGTGGACAAGGTGCGAAACTACTATGCCGGCCAGCTGGGGACTGCAAAGATGATCTTCAACCCCGACACACGGGGCTACGAAGAGCTGTAATCTAGGTATTATTGCGGGGGGTACTTACAGTATAATGGGCCCCAGAACCCTATTCTTATTATGAAGGCCCCTATATTATATTTATATTAGATCCGTGGTCGAGGCTTTCGTTTTCCATAGGGTTTACAGTAAACCCCAAAAAGTTGGAAACCGGATCAAGGCCAAATAGTGCTGGGTTTCCCCATACATTACTATGAAGGATTGAGGCTATGAGGTTTCCAACTTTTGGGCTTCTACTGTAGGGGTTGACACTTAGAGGATCCTGGGACTTAGTAGGTTATAACTGGGGTTATAAGTCCCCTAAGTTTTGTTATCCCAATTATAACCTACTTATAACCTTACTTACTAAGTCCTATGAGCCTTTAAGCAACCCTGGGTCTGATGGAAGTGTGCCATCCAATCTGAAGCTGCGCTTGTCAAAGGAGCCGGCCCCTGCCATGAGAGCCCCAAGAGTCCAACAAACCGAAGCCACATGGGAGTTTCCGAAAATTAGGGGGGTACCTTAGGGCTCCTTTAAAGGGCTCTATAAGGGTTTAGAGTTTCCGAAAATTAGGGGTACCTTATTTTTTGGGGGGGTCCTTATAATAGGATCCTGCTATTTAGGGTGCCCCTATTTTCGGAAACTCCTACATTGCCCCTCCAGACCCTGAAGAAGATCCACAAAGGCTTCAACAACCTAATCAAGGTCTGACACACTGTACCATGCCACACCTAGAGTTCCGAAAGTTTTACGTAAATCCAGTCCAAAACACCTGACTCCTGAACACTGCAACTAACAGCCCAAGCAGCAACCGTGCTGAAGCCCTCAAGGCTTTCAGCCTCCACTCCAAGACTCTGTGAGTGTAGTCCCCAACCGCGAGAGCACAAGAGCACCTGGCTGTCAAAGAGCAGTGCGTACCCAAGAACCATGCAAGGAGTGCCTGAGGTCCTCGAGACCACCCCTTGAGCTAAGTTGCGCAGCACAGAAACGATATGGGTGGCACTGCCGGAGAAAATTCTGCGAACTACAGGCTGCAACCATCACCAGGATTCAAAGCTAAATCCCCGAAGCCTAACACCGCAAGGCGGGAGGCCAAAAAGCACCGAAGCCTGATTGAGCATTTGTCCGCCAAAGCTTTAAGTCATCCACGTTGAGGGCATGAAAAAGGAGCCTGACAAGCGCGCATTTGGCTTCCACAGGTGGAGCCCTAGGTATTGGGGTCAAGTTTCTCATGTCTTGGAGGCCACAAAAGCCACAGGAGAAACCACTTAATGCTGACTTCCTCTGACTCGTAATCTTCGTGATGCTCAAGATCATCATGAACTCGGAGAAAGCAGGGCAAGAAGATTTAAGCAGAAGAGGCGGCGAAGCTAGGAGTTTCAGCTATCTCGAAGCTTAATTAATAGGATCCCTTAAAGGATCTCTCAAAAGGAGCCCTTAAAGGATCCCTTAGAAGGAGTCCTTAAAAGGATCCCTTAATAGGAGTCAGCAGGGCTCGGCGTTCCCAGGGTCTCCGGAGGGATCCCGGCGCAGAGGTTGGCTTCAACTCCTACTCAGAGTTCAGTATGTTTAGGGTTTGAGGTTTAGGGTTTAAGGTTTAGGGTGTAGGGTTGGGGCATTACCTGGACGCCAAATAACCTACCTTTTTAGGGTTCCCTAGTATGACTTCCTTTTTTCCGTCCTTGAAGAGGTAGGTTATTCGGGGTTCAGGTAGGGTTTAGACCTGGCCCCCAAAGGGCAGTTCTAAAACAACAAATGCACCCTTTAGGGGTCTAGGGTTTAGGATTTAAGGTAGAGTGTCCCTCTTAGGGGTCTATAAGGGTGCCGTCATATTTTTAACAGTGACCTTAATTTAGAACTACCCATGAACAGGCTTAGTTTCACTCAGCCGAAGGCCAGATTCAGATTAAGGCACACAGCCTCCAAGTCGGGGGGTCATGTGGCAGAGCTGCAGAAGCATTCGCTCATACACTGCCCCGTCCACTAACATGTTTTCCTTAGTTCCTGTTTCAATGAATACTATATTAGGTACCCTGAGACTATCACATACCCCCCAAACCCATCCTTATTGTCAACGTCCCTAAATTAGTTAAGACTCAAGCCCCGAGGAGGAGAGCCTTGTTGAAATTGCTGTAGGTACTTTACGCGCCTGAATGACTAGAATAGGGTTTTCGGGACCAATATACTACAATTGTAAGCAGGAATCCCCGAAATAGCATACTGAATTATTAATTAAGGGCCCTATATTACATGATGCACCCTCTTCAGCGGATCGAACTAAGCAACTCTGCCATGCGAAGAACTCAATGGGGTAATTCAGGCACGTGTTTCGCCGGATTGTCGCTGGGGTAGTCCGGATGCGCGTCGCGGGGTGATGGGTGGAAAATGCACCGGCCTGGCAGGCTTTGGTTTTACTATCCATCCTTTACCCGTGGGTTCAGGGGCACAGCAGCCCAAACCCTAAATGCACCCCAGGCCCAAACTGGACGAACAGCAAGAGAAGGGAGCCAAGGGTAGGAACGCCAAGGCGCTTTGTGGATGCGACAAAACCTTTTAGTTTTACTGCCGTATAGTTTTCATCTTGGCCCGTTGATGTTGATGCAGATATGGGTTTAAGCCTGTGAGTTCTGCATGATGTTGATCGTGACTATTTCACAAGTATTTGACTTCAAAATACGTAGTCTCGTTCGTTTCGTGATTGAAAGTCGTAGGACTCGCCGACTGTGACTAGCCATGTTTTTATCTCCAACATGGGTCCTCTAGTTTCTGAACCTAAACCCCTAAACCCTAAACCGGAACCCCCAAACCCTAAACCCTAAACCCTAGCCTGCTCCTAGGGCTCATGAGAATGGTCTGGTCGCAGGGCTTGGGGCCTGGGGTTCAGGGCGTGGCGGTCAGAGTACGGCACCACAGCATACTTGAGTCAAGTTGTTTTCACTCACATGCACAGACGCGACATGCATGATTGATCCTCGCCAGCCGGCTTGAGCAGAAACAGTGAACCAGGATCTTTTGATTCTGGTAGCGGAGCGCTAGGCTCCCGCCATTGCTACGAGCGGCGCCCTTTGCTGCACTCCGGCTGGAGGCTGGAGGTCCAGGCTTGGCCTGTGACGCCCTTGGGGGCTACGTGCACCACGAGCACTACGAATACTTTGTACTTTCCCTTGACCCGGCGGCTGGCAGCCCTTTGGACGCTGCTGGCGCTTTTGTCACCGGATAAGAGCCCACCTGTGCAGAGGGAGAGTGCGAGCAGCTTTGGCGCTGCATCGGCGGCGCGACCCTTCCGAGCTCTACGACCCGATTCTCCGGAAGGACGCGATTACGATCCAGGACCCGCTCGATTACTTGATCCTCCCGAAGTTCGAGGAATCGACCTCTACGTGAGAGCCATGGCATCTCCGTCGCCTGCTCAGGGCGGAGGAGTTCCTTTGGAAGAGTGGAGAAAAGATGTCCCACCTGGATGGCAGCCTGGACTCGAGAACTACCCCTTGAAGCTCTACTTCAGCAAGCTGAAACTGTGGTACCGTTGCACCGAGGTACCGGACGAGGTGGTAGGACCTCTCATTGCCGGCAGGCTGGTCGGCAGAGCGCAACGCATCGCTTTGGAACTTCGTCTTATCCGACCGGACGGGACATATGACACGGGCGATGCAGCGCTGGTCCGGCTGTCGGTGGACCAGGTCTTGGACCCAGCAGACGGGGTCACGGTGCTACAGCACCACATACCGTCAGGAGTGCAAGCGCTTTGCAATGCGCTCAAGCAGGCCTTCGGTGAGACGGATGAGACTGCCACGACGAAGGCCCTCGAGCTGTTCTTCGAGTTTCGTCGCCCAGCTTCTCAGGATTTGCAAGAGTTTGCTGCCGAGTGGGAGCTCAGGTTCGAGGATGCGAAAACCCGAGCGGGCCTCGACATGAACGACGTCGCGAAGTCCTACATGTGGCTGAAGCAAGCAAACATTCCCCAACGGCATCAAGATGACCTTCGGCTACAGATCCATGGGGACCTCAGCAGGTTCAATGACTTGCGGACGCTGGCGCTTCGGCTGGCACACCGGACCGACAAGAGCGACGCCTTCTACGAGGAGGCCCGTTATGCGGATGCTCCCTGGGAGACCGACACGGAGTGGAACGAGACCTTCTGGAGCGACGACTCCTGGCTCTACGTGGGTGATGAGTACGAAAGCTACCTGACCGAGGACTGGTACGGCGAGGAAGACTACGACGACTACTACCCGCACGAGCCAGGAGGAAGCTGGTATGAGGACGAGCAAAGCTCCTGGCAACCTGACCCAGATGGCGAACCTGGCCACCAAGGAGGAGACGAGGTGTACGCCGACGAGTACCAAGACGGCGTCTTCAGTGCTGGCGGCGGCCGACCTTTCAAAGGCCGAGGCAAGAGCAACGGCGCAGGCCCCTTTGGCAGCGGCTGCTACGTGTGCGGATCGCGATGGCATGTTGCCGCTGATTGTCCTGTGAAAGGCAAAGGCGGCAAAGGCTTCGGCGGAGGAAAGCCAAAGGGAAAAGAAAAGGGCAAGCGCCCTAAAGGCAAGTACGGCAAGAAGGGCAAGGGCAAAGGTTTCGGCAAAGGAGGCTATGGACGAAAAGGCTCCTGGTCTTCTCCTGATGGCCCTCGCTCCTGGATGCAACCGCGGTACTATGCCGACTCAAAGTATGCTGATCAAATGCGCCATGCCCGCGAAGGTCTTCACCTCGGAGATTCTCCCGAGAAGGCCGCTGGCAGCAAGACTGGAAACACCCAGTACTACAACCTCGCTGCCGAGAGCACCCCGGCGAAGGTCAACGATGGCGGCGACTTCATGAACATGGAACGAGCCGCCACCAAGGCCTATCGTGATGAGGCCACCGGGAGCAACGAGGCTGGCGAGGCATATGAGTCTCCGGTAGAGAGACCATCGAAAAGCTTGGAGTTTTTCTTCAAGAAGTGCGTCAACGGCGAGGAGATCCACACGCCGAGGCACAAGACGCACTATGGCCACGACGACCCCGAGAGTGCCGACATTTACCACACGGTACAGGGACGGCGTCGTCGAGGGCTCATTATAGATCCCGGGGCGGCCAACGGACTGATCGGCAGCGAGACGCTCAGGGACTTGATGGACAATGTCGACAAGTCTGATGAGGTCAAGAGATCAGTGCAGTGGAGCGAGAAGAAGTCGGAGGTCACTGGAATCAGTGGCGCAGCAGACACCACCTTGGGTGAAGTTCGCATTGGACTCCCGATGCTTCCTGGAATGAAATCCGCCTCCTATGTTGCAGACGTTGTCGGGGGCGAGGCTAGCTGCTGTCCGGCTTTGGTCGGAAATCCGGCACTCGTGAAGATGAATGCAGTGATCGCTTCACACTGGTTTGAGAACAAGGATGGCCTCCTCATCGTTCCGAACCCTGACAGCACCGAGGAGGCCGACAAGTTCCACTTGATGAGGTTGTTGTACACTGACAGCAGGCACTACATGCTGCCGCTTGATGGCACGACCACTGCCAAAGAAGAGCGGAACAATGCGCACACTTTCCTTGCGCATGTTGCTGCCCGCTCAACGAAGTTGTGGTCTGACGTTCGGAAAACGTGGTTCTTCAACAGGTCGGACAACAAGCCAGAGCCAAAGCGGAGTCAGCTTGCAGAGGTACAACAACATGACGTGATGCACTACCAGAACGACCAAAGTCCACAACCACAGCAGTCACCGTCGGATCCCATTCAGGAATCAGATCCGAAACCGCAGCAGTCACCTTCGGATCCCAGTCAGGAATCAGATCCGAAACCGCAGCAGTCACCTGGTGGTCCTTTAGCAACAACTATGTCGCCCAGTTCCAAGTCTGACAAGTCACCAAAGTCAGTGCGTTTTGACATGTCACCGTCGAGGTCATCTGTCCTGGAGGAAGCAAGCCAGCAACTGTCATGTGCGTCTCAGGAGTCTGCGTTTCAGATGCCCACGGTGTACCATGGCGACAGCTATCCCTGTGAAGTGACCGGAAGCCAAAAGGTCCGCCTCGACAAGTACTACGAGATTGCCAAGGAGGAGTACTACAGCAAGTCTGGCAAGAAGCCGGTCACCCCAGAGAACTTCCACCGTTGGAAGAACACCAAGGCTGCGAGATCTCCGGTCCACTTTTGGGAGCTCTTCTCCGGGTCCGCCAGGCTATCCTATGTGGCTCTGTTGGCAGGGCTATCAGTCGCGTTTCCGGTGGACCTGAGATATGGATGGAACCTCGGAGCTGCCTCTCACCAGGAGATGATCCTCGAGGCGCAGGAGATGTTCGACCCAAAGGTCATCGTGATGTCGCCCTCTTTCGGCACATGGAGCTCACGCTCCAATAAGCTCTCCGACGAGGAAAGGGAGCACTGTGCAGCCGAAGAGGCGTCGGCGGCCCAGTTCGTCAAGGTCTTGGCTGCGCGACAGGCTGAACGAGGGCATGCTTTTGTGGTCGAACAACCGTGGACTAGCCCCTCATGGAAGCACACCTGCTTCTCCACTTTTGCAGTGGATATCCCTGGATGCAAGCCGAGACAGCGCACTGATCAGTGTTGTTTTGGGGCTGTGGATGAGCACAACATGCCCATCCTCAAGGCTACGGGCTTCCAGGGCAACCTTTCGCTGCGCAACACCACTCGGCGTTGCCAGGGACACCGACTCGGACACGGACAAGCTCAAGCAGGTGGCCCTCGAGTGGTTTCTCAGTCCACGGCGGGTGTCTACACGCACCAGATGTGCAAGGCCATTGTGAAGGACATCCAGAAGTACCTCAAGGGCATTGGATGCAAGCCCGAGGGTGTTTTTCACGCCGGCCGTGGAAGCTCAGCGAGCTCTTCGAAGGACCCTGTGGTCCGAGCGGCCGTGGTGACTCCACTTCCTCAGCTTCTCGAGGAGTTCAAGGAAGCGGCCATGAAAAGACATAACCTGGACGATGTCCAGGTACAATGGCCAGAGGGTGTCACCATCTCGGCCGTGGACTCCCTCATGTTCAAGCACCTCCTGCTGTGCCTGGTCGAGGACAGTGTGAACATGATCTCCGAGGTCAAGGGCAAGCACAACCATTGGAGCCAAGATCCAGTTCACCTAGGAGTGTTGCGGAAAGTCTTCGGCAAGGTGCTGGACGTCAAGGGTGTGTGCACTTCTCTACATGCTGAACACTATCCTCTTCCTATGCCGTTCCTTCGGACTGAGTCAGCACCTTTCCGGGTGATCATTCGGGGCGAGGTCAAGAAATGGACCGTGAAGAAAGCGGAGGACCTCAGAACGTACACCCAGGCTCAGCTGAAGGAGAAGATGTTCTGTGAAGACTGGGTGATCGCTGTCTTTGGTTCCACTGCCAAGGACAAGGACTACTGGGAGATCGATCGCATGCGGGGCAAGGCCATTCGCCATCACATACGTCCCCGACAAGCTCTTTTCACTCCCAGGGAGGACGAGGGCCCAGTCTCCATCGAAGAGCTGACGTCATCGAGAACGACGACGGCAACACCCTACGACAAGCCAGGGCCCAAGGTTGTGATCCGCGATGAATGGACCGGGAGAGACAGCTCTAGGGCAGCCATCGAGGATGGGAAATGGACTGGAACGACTGAGTTCGAGATCCATGCTCCCGAGGACGATGAACGACCAGAACAGGACCCAGTGGTTCGTGAAGCGGATGCTCGTGAAGATGATATGGACAGGTCCAAAGATGAGGAGGCCCAGGCGGAGGATGTCGAGGATGGCCAGGTCATCGATCCACCTCGCCGTTCGAATTTCGACTTCCGTCGTGTGCTTGTACGGCTTCCTCGTCTGGCGCGAGAGGACGCACAACAAGCCAAGAGGCTCTTGCTTGGGCTTCACGAGCGGTTCTGGCACTCAGGGGCTGGTGATCTCCAGTCCATGCTCACCCGAGCTGGCATGCCTGCGGAAGTGCTGAAGCTAGTGCCCGAGACCATTGCCTCGTGTGCTGTGTGCCGGCGGTTCGCCAAACTAAAGAGCAGACCCAAAGTGCGAGCCAATCACCCTTCGTCGTTCAATGAAGAGGTCCAGGTGGATTGGTTCCGAATCTGGGACAGCTGGTTCATGATCGTCATCGATGTTGCCACTCGCTACAAGACGATCATTCAAGTTCCAGGACGTGACCTTCAATCCGCTCTTCATGCACTTCTCCATGGATGGTTTCGCTACTTTGGGCCCATGAAGAAGTTGGTTTCCGATCAGGAATCATGCCTCATGTCCCACGAGGCAGCGGCAGAGCTGGAAAGGCTTACGATTCATCGCGAACCGGCTGGGACCACACGTGGCGGTGCTCAAGGGCAACACACAACCACCGGAATAGTCGAGAAGCACACCGACCTTGGCAAGATCTGCATGATGAAGTTGCGAGCAGAGGCCGAACGACAAGGCCTCGAAGTCAACCTAGCCGATCTCGCCGCGGAGGCCAGCTTTGCCCAGAATGCCACGCTCAACATTGGCGGCTACTCGCCTCACATGATGGTCATCGGCACTTTGCCTATGCCATTCTACGACTTTGAGGCTCCGGGCATACAGGCCATCACTGGAGCTGGCCATGCGAATCCTTCGGTCTACGAGCGAGCGCTGAGGCTGCGCCAAATGGCCATCACAGCCGCGGCACAATCCATTGCCGAGAACCGCATTGCGCGAGCTGGACACACGCGGCCACAACGAGTACCACTTGATGAACTACAAGCGGGCACCTCTGAGGTGGAGTTCCACAGAGAGGATGCAGATGGGTTCGGCTGGCGTGGCCCAGCTCTACTTCTGAAGCTGAACGAGAATGGATCCGCGATTGTGGAGTATCAAGGCAGGCCCTACCTGATACCTCTGAGAAACCTCAGACTGTTCAGAGGTGTATACTACAACAACGCGGACTCCCTCAAGTCAGACGATGCAGTCAAGGGCCAAGAACTCGAATCTTGGATCGCACTCAGGCGCCTCATGCAAAGCACCGAAGCGTGCGTGCCCTTCAAAGTCGAAACTTTCGGCCATCTTCGTAACCACCGGGGAAAATGGACGCGGCTGCCAAAGCTCATGGGCGAGGAACAGGTCAAGGGCATTCTTGCGGACATCCAGACGGCGGCCCAGTTCCTCACGGCCAAGGAATGCCATGGCATCCGTGTTGGTGTTGGTCTCAAGAAGATGTTTACCCCGGAAGGATCCACAGGCACCCTGGTGGCATGGAGACGGAGAACGGTGCGCATGTCCATCATCGACAACCCCAATGGCGCTGACATGAACACGACTGGTCTGCGCCTGGGTGGTCGCGAAGAAATGTGTTACATCTACTTCTACAGCTATGCTGAGAATTTCGTGGAGCCTCCGTTCGAGACATGGACACCCAAAGGTGCACCTATGGAGGAGTCGCCTGTGACTCCTATTCCGTCTACTACACCGGCTGGGGCACCTTCCTCCGGAACCAAACGCGATGGTCCGGACTCTCGGACCGTGACTCTTGGGCCAGAGAGCAAGAAGCAACGCGTCAACCACATGACGCCTCTTTCGGAGTGCATGCCTGAGGTCTTCTGGAACATGCACAAACATGAATGGATGGTTCAGCTGCCTGAGGACGACGAAAACCCCTCAGAGGAAGCCTCCACGCATCACTACAGCACCACGACCACCGATCAGCTGTTCTACATGGACTCGCCAGGGTGGCATGCCGATCTCCAGACGGGCAGCATCTTCCGAGTGGACTCTACTACTGACTCCATCGAGGAAGAAGATCTGCCAGGCATATGGCCACAGGTTGATGAGGCCGACCACAAGGAGATCGGGCAGTTTGTGGCCGAGAAGGCATTCAAACCATCTCGACGGCGCGACCTGCCGCAGAATTGTGCCATCATTGACGGCATATGGGTTCGCAAGTGGAAGAAGACAGCTGATCTCAAGCGCATCGTCAAATCGCGCATGTGTGTTCGTGGATGTCATGATCCATGGAAAAATGAGCTGAACAACCGCTCGGCTACAGCGACCCGTTTGTCTCAACGGCTCATCTTAGTCGGGGCGGCCAACTGTGAAGGTGACGACGTCGAGTCCTGGGACATTGCCGGCGCCTTCCTGAAGGGCCTCACCTACGAGGCCTTGTGGAAATGCTTGCGGAAGCTTGGGCTTCACACTGTCGAAAGACTGATTGCCATCGTGCCACCAAAGAACGTCTGGCGACACCTACGGAAGCTGTCCAAGGAGTTCGACATCCCTGAGGACCAGCTCGACGACTTTGTGCTTCTGTGTCTGAAGCCAGTCTATGGTCTCAGCGAGGCTCCCCTCGCTTGGCAGCTATTCCTGCACCAGTTTCTCCGTGACCTTGGTGGCATACAGTCCCTCTTTGACGAGTGTTTCTGGTTTTGGCCCGCCAAGACACCAGGCGTTTGGCCTACTGCATCCCTCACGACACACGTCGATGATTTGGCTGCAAGAGGGAAACGCCACTGGCTGGACTGGGCCTACGCAAAGCTTCTTGAGAAGTTCGGCAAGCTCACCCGGCAACGTCTCCCCTTCATGCACTGCGGGTGCAAATACAGCCGTATTCCAGACGGTTTCAAGGTCGACCAAAGCGACTACGTGAAGATGCTGAAGCCTGTGCTCGTGGCTGCAGAGGACAAGGATGAACGTTCACTACTACCAGAGGAGACTACCGCTCTCCGTTCAGTGATTGGCGGCCTGATGTGGACTTCGCTCACCAGGCCGGATGTTCTGGCCGAGCTCTCGACTCTCCAGTCGATTATGAACAAGGCGAAGGTTTCTCACCTTCGGATGGCCAATGCCCTGGTGGAGCGCGCGAAGCAGGACGTGGATGCGGCCGTGTACTACCGAGCTCTTCCTTCTAAGTCCTATCGCATTGTTTGTGTCCACGATGCCAGCGCTGCCTCCTCGACAAAGAACTACGCCCAAGAAGGCGTGCTGGTCTTCCTCATGGCCGACACTGTGAACTTCGCTGAGGAGCACATTATCGCCTCGGACGAGTTCGCCAAATACCGATTGTCCGGACGTGCTCAACTGTTGCACATGCAAAGCAACAAGGCCAAGCGAGTTTCGTACTCGACGAGCCACGGCGAGACCTTGGCAGCCATCAACGGTTTAGAGTGCAGCACATTGGTTTCGGCAAGGCTTGCGGAAATCACTATGGGGCCGATCAAGCCGACGATTCAGCAGCTCTTGGCTGTTCAAGAACGAGGATGCCCATATTTCCCGACGGACATCCACACAGACTGCCGCGACTTCTACGAGCTGACGACGGGCCAACGTACACTGCCTCAAGATAAAAGCCAACGATTGTACATCCTGGCACATCGTGAAGCACGTGCCAGCGGACGCATCCGCTGGACTATCCTTACTCCAACGGAATGCATGACAGCAGATGCTCTCACGAAGGTCATGCAAAGCCCGTGCTTGATGAAGTGGTTGTCTACTGGTGTCGTGGAGTTCTGGAACACAGGTCATCCTCTGGAACTCAAGCGCCTTCCTCCTCCAGGCGACGGCTCCACCGACTTTGACGAAGACGACTTGGTGGCTGGTGATGATGCTCTTCGAAAGAACCGCAAGTGGGCTGCAAACATGTTTACTCTGGGCTGCTTCCTGTCACAACGCGGTTGGTATGGTTTTGGTGCATTGACGATGCTTGCTGTCCCATCCGCGGCGCAGCCTTCACCACCTCATCCACTACCTGAACCTCAAGGCGACTATGCGCTCCTCATGCTCATCATCCTGGTGATCATCGCCTCTGGGGCCACGGCGATCCTTTTTGACCGCTGGTGCACGAGATCTACCTCTTCCACGACGGCTTCCTCTTCGGCGACTTCAACTGCGAGCTCCTCGACTACACCGCCAACGACTGGAACGCCTACGACCGTAACGGAACCGCCACCTGATCCTGTACATACTTCTCAGGACATTTGGATATCCAAGAATGGAAAACGTTACCATCGAGCGACTTGTGTGTACGCTCAAGGCGGCAAGAGGTACAGTCCATGCTCGTACTGCCGACCTTTTGGCACTCCGTGATTCTGCAACATCCAGAGTCCAAAGCGGAGTCAAGTTGTTTTCACTCACATGCACAGACGCGACATGCATGATTGATCCTCGCCAGCCGGCTTGAGCAGAAACAGTGAACCAGGATCTTTTGATTCTTGCCAAATCGCGGCTGGGTGCGACTTCCATAGGGTCAGGGACTTGACAACAAAAACAGCGACATGAAGCTAGCAGTGCATACTAACAGCCTTACGGTAGGGGCCTTAATAATTAGAATACGTAGGCTTTGGGGGCTGGTGGTGATGGCAATCATGGATTAAAATATGGTATTTGACGATATTATGCATTTGGCTCTAACTTGTGCTGCTGCTGGTGGTGCAGATGATCTTCATGGTGGCAATGTTGGTTTTGGTGAGGATTGCACGAACAGGGACGTCCCTTGTGATGGTGACGACACTGTTTCGTTTGGTGGCGACGGCGATGGAGCTGGTGATGGTGATCCATGGCGTTTATATGCTCTGGTTTTGGGAAGATCCGTGCTGGAGCTGTTCCGGATGATTACATCAGCACGGTTCAGCCTGAATGAAGCCTTTGGCTTGGTCCACGTGCTGTTGCACACAGATGTGGCTCAAGTGCCTGCTATTGTCCAGGCGTGCGGATGAGATGAGGCAAAGATCGACGCATGATGATTGTGAAGCGATTAGAAGAGCCACGCGTAGCCTAATTTGATTGTCACATCAGTCCCAATTCTGCGCTTGTCTTCTTTGTGAGATACCCACTAAGTTTAATCAATGTTTTACAAGTTGTTGCTACTTGGCCCAGCATTTTCGCAATATGCATGCAAAGGAAGTTGTTGCTTCAAGCCCCACTAGAGCAACCACTGCACAGCTACGAGCTAGCTGGAGCCCGTTGTTCTGCACGCAAGCGCAGGGTGTCGATGATGCCAGTCTCTGCAGCAGTTTTTTCAATCCTATGTGACAACTCTGGCTGTGGTAGCATGGCGGCCTCAGGCTGTCTGCACAGCATAGCAGAAGATTAAAGAATGGTTGGAGCAAGTAGCAGTAGATATAGCCTCAGGGTTTGCCTTTCCACTACCGCAGTGAAGAGTAACAAAGAGCTTCCGCTGCGTCGTCTGCTACTGATATTGCTCGAAGATGATGACGAGTGGTACCATGTCTTACCACTTTTTCTATATAGAACTACAGCAACTTTTGTGTTAATAATACTGTTGCTAGTTCGTGCTCCGTGCAGCTCTTATTTTTCCGATTACGACAAAGACCGCTACTACTAAACCTGCAGCGGCTACTGATACCACCACGATCGGACGACGACGACTACCACGCACTCTTCCACCAGCAACAGCGCCGGCACCAGCACGAATACTATTAAGTTGCTACCTTCGCCATGCGGCTGAGCCGGAGATGTCACGCATTGCAAGATCCCGAAAAGTGTTAGGCGAGTTGGCTCCACTTGCCCTTTGCTGTTTCGGATACTGTGCTCAGTTTCTGCCAGGTACAGTGATTTAGAACCTATTCCTCACTGCTCCTTATTACATATCTATGCCATGACACTCCCCAAAGTCCGACTCTAGCTTTCAAGGCCCGTATAGTCGCCGTTTCAAGCGGCATTAAGGTCGGGATATCCATGCCTGTGATGGCTTTTTTTCGCAAGCGATGCAAGTTCTTTGATTGTGGACTCTGGGTCACTAGTAGACACACGCCAAACCCTAGCAAGGGGAACCGCAAACCTAGCAAGTTTGATCATCTAAGGCGCCAACTCGCCAGGGAGGAATTTGAGAGATGATGACTAAAAACCCGCTGCGTCCATATTCCTTCGGAGTCGATTTATCATACATAAACAAACCCAGCCCGAAACTTGATGCCCTGAGTGTCTCTGCCAAGCTCGGAGAAGCCGGGGAACTATACATACGTACCTGGACCCTAAGGAACCTACCTTTTTAGGGTTCCTTACTATGATTTCTTTATATATGTCCTTAAAAAGGTTGGTTACTTGGGGTTAGGGTATACAGATAGAGAGAGTGCTAACATTTTCGGGCATAACTTGGGATTTTCGGGCAAACATGCTCGGGAAACTGCGAGCGTTTTTTGTCAGGAAGCTTGAACGGCATTTTTCAGACCCCTTTTGTGGCAAAATTCAATTATAAGGACCCGAGTTTTTCAGACACAACATTCCATAGGCATTTAGGCGCGTAGAAATGCATGGTGATTTTACGGGGGGAGTTGGCAGCATGGCTTGGTTTGGCTTCCGCGGGAGTGGGGTTTGAGGGGGACAGGTACAGGTGACCGTATGCGTTTGCATGGCATCTAGAAATGCACGGCGACCCTGTGGGGCGAGCTTGGCAGCAAGGCTTGGCTTGGCTTCCGCGGGGGTTGGGGGTTGGGGGGGAGGGGGCTGGCCCCTTCCCCCGCATGTGTATGTAAGTGTGACAGTATGTAGTGCGTACGTCTGTGCATTTGGTTGTTGTTTGTCTACTTCATTACATGTTGCCATATGCATCTAGAAGGCGCGTAGAAATGCATGGTGATTTTACGGGAGGAGTTGGCAGCTTGGCTTGGCTTGGCTTGTCTACACATAGGTGTGCATATATGTATCTATAGAGTCATGCTTGGGCTTTACTTCAAGACATGTTGCCATATGCATTTAGAAGGCGCGTAGAACTGCATGGTGACTTTACAGGGGAAGTTGGCAGCATGGTTTGGCTTGGCTTGGCTTCTGCGGGGGTTGGGGGGTTGAGGCGGACAGATACAGGTGACCGTATGATTTTTAGATGGCATCCAGAAATGCATGGTCATGCTGTGGGGCGAGCTGTTCCCGAACATGCCAGCCAGTTTCTCGATGTCTGGCCAGCCTCTTGAAAAACCGACTGTGATTCCCGAAATTTCGGGCGTATGTGCGTGAAATTCCCGCGCAGTTTCCGAACATAGTTCCGCGAAATTCCCGGCACCCTACATATATATATATATATATATAGACACATATATACAGGTATACATGTAGACGTACGTATACATATACATATACAGATGTAGATGTACATATACATATACATATACATCTACATATACATACACAGATACAGATACAGATACATGTACATGTACAGATACATGTACATGTACATATACATATACATATACATATACATACACACGTATATACATATGCATATACATATATGTAGCAGTATATGATATTCTTGTATGCGCTTGGTGAGTGTTTAGTAGTACCTCCTCCGTTCGCTCATTTAGTGAAACAAACAGATTCCGACCTGCCTCCCTCTTGTTTGACCGGTTCTTCTAGCCCTCATGTGCTTCCGAAGCTCAGTCTGTAGCCCAGGAAGCTGCAACAGCGATGTAGAGAGACACGTCTCAGGCAAACATCAGGTCCTAAAGTTCTACACTGTTCTAAAAGTTCTGACCCTGAACTCCGAAATCGCTTAACCCTAGTGTCTGTAAATAAACCGATAACACTTTCCCGAGAAGGAAGTTGGAAGTGCAGGCCTATTGCTGTGGAATGTGCCTCCTGGTAAATGCGGATCCAAAAAGTTGTGTGCGGAGTTCGCACCTGTTTGGGGTTTTTTGCGATGTCAGCAGTTCGTGGCGGCTGGTGTGATTCAAAGGAGTTTGGGGCTGGTGTTTGAGAGCACTGTAGTTAAGCACTGCCATGCTCGTGTTACCTAAATATCCTACACCATGCCAAACCCGTGTATAGCCACTGCAGCCCTAGACCTTTGTTCATTTATTGTGTGAATCAAATTTGTTGGTGGCATGGGAGTTGGGATATCTACGAGCCTCTAAACTCCAAAGCTGTTTCAGAGCCCCTTCAGATTGTTCAGGGCTTCGTAGCAGGTACTCCGTTTCTCATCCAGCTTGGCGGAAAGCGTTTCTTGAAGTTCTGCCACGAGTTTCATCCTTGCCTGACAGTGCTACTTGTGAGAGCAAAATTTCTGAACATACGGCTCTGAATATGTACGTCAATGACATTTCCTCGACGCCTTGCAATATGATGCATTCCAATGCAGCCATAAACCCCATGATAGCCATTCTTATCACATAAGGCCGAGAGTACGCATGATCCAAGTGACGACTCTTCCCCAGATGCAGAAGACAAACGTAGCTGTATGGCTCAAGGTGCCACTTGCCCTTCATGTGCAATCAGAAGTAAACTTCAAGTTGGACATCCAGACAGTCGCCAGCTTTTTAGGTTGCTACTTCAGGGCCACCGCAAGTAACTATCTGTAGCACCTTCGGCAGCAAAGGGCTATGCTGATCGTCCAGTTCAGGTGCTAGCTTGTTAGCTGTCCTCGCCAAAGCTGTTTCACCACGGCATTGAGCACCTTTGCCCCTGGCCACTTTGCTTGTCATGTGAGACCTTGCACTGCTGAAGACTTGGGATTTGTAAACTTAGCATAACATAGTGCCACACTCTAAGAAACGGGCCCCATGAAACTACAACAGATTGATATCCCGGCCCAAGACCCTAAACCCTTTCATCCCCGACCATCCGAAGCCCAAACCCTGTAATCCCTGAACACCCACGGCACTACACCCTATAATCCCCAACCGCCCGCAGCCCCACCCTAAACACCCAAAGCCCTGAACCCTTTAATCTTGAATCCCGACACGCCCGAAGCCCCAAACCCGAGAATCGCCAAACACCCAAAGCCCTGAACCCTTTAATCCCTACACAAATCCCCAAACACCCAAAGCCCTAAACCCTAATCCCTACACAAAATCCCCAAACACCCAAAAGCCTTAAATCCTAATCCCTACACAAATCCCCAAACACCCAAAAGCCCTAAATCCTAATCCCTACACGCCCCAAGCCCTACAACCTGAATGCTTCCGTTTTCGCCCTCTTCCGGGCCCAGGAGGGGACCTGAGTTATGGCGGAGAAGGAAAATGAACCCAAGGCCAGGTCTCTAGGGTTTAGGGCTTTAGGGGTTGAGGGCTGAGGGGTTTAGGGGTTAGGGGCTTGGGGTTTAGGGGATTAGGGTTTAGGGTTTTAGGAGTTGAGGCGTTGAGGGGTTCAGAGCTCAGCCGCGGTGTTGCTCCAACATTCAGGCGATTGCACAAGTCCTGATGCAAGAAGGGTTTAGGGCTTGAGGGTTTGGGGCTAAGACACAAAGTGAGGTTTCAGGGCTTGAGCATCAGCTTCAGCAAATAGGCTTGGCTTTGGGGTCGTTTTGCATGCGCGAGTTTCGGAATCTGGGCTTGCCATGCTGGCGCTTGTGGATTGTACTTTGCTGAGTTGCGGATAGAACAGCTCGGTGCTCTGCAAAAATGTGTCCTGCAACGCCCTGTTAGTAGTCTGTACAACCCACAAGCCAGCAATTTGCATCGCATCGAACTCCAGTGAACTTCTCGACGGACCTCGCACGCCTGTATTGCGATCTTAATTGCCAACGATCTGCAACAGCCACCGTCGCAAGACAGAACCCTACCCCTAATTAATCCCTATAGAAGCTCCAAGACTTCAACGTACCTCTTGATTTAGAGTCACTTGTTTATCAGTCGCTGCAACAAGGTGTAAGGGCCATAGGGAATACTGACACATGTTTAAATTAGGAGTGGTGATAGAAGCAGCGATCAGCATAATGGTGCTAGATCATTTATTAGTGAATACTCAGACTGCGAACGTT